CTTCTTGCTACTACTACTACTACTACTACTACCACCACCACCGGCACCACCAGCACCACCAGCACCACCACCACGACCACTACTACTACTACTACTACTACTACTACTACTACCACTACTACCACTACTACTACGACTACTACTACTACTACTACTACTACTACTACTACTACTACTACTACTGCTACACCGCCATTAAACGAGCAGCTATGGCAGCAGCAGCGGCAGCAGTGGTAGCAGCAGCAGCAGCAGCAGCAGTTGGGCGTAGCAATCGTAGTCGTAGTGGCAGTGGCAGCAGCTGTAGCAGTAGGCCCAAACTACATGGACTACATGAGCAACAGAGCTAGAAACAAGTCATCTCGCGAAACCTCAAAGAGGCCCTTGGGGTTCGGAGGACTTCCTCCGATCTCAACGCCACGTCGCTGTCAGACATCAGGACCTCCAGAGGAGCTCTGGGTTTTAGGGTTGTAGGTTTCAGAGCTTCAGAGCTTCAGAGCTTGAAACTTTTGGTTTAGGGTGAAGGTGTGGGCTGGTGCTAGAAACTGGAACTTAGACCCCGAAAACCCCCCAAGTAGCGACTCTTTTAAGAAGATACGCAAAGAGTCGTTTGCGATCCGGTTTGAAGGCAGCGGAATCCGGACACTAAACAACTATCCTCAGGAGACTCAATGTTCATGAGGTCTGAAAGACTTCGAAACACAGCCGGTGCGGCGTGGAGATGAGATTCCAGGTGTTCGATCAGGCTGCCGAAAAGCTCCTGAGAACTCCAGCTTTGGGTCTGGGTACTCCGATGCAACAGTTTGAGAGAATGTATGGGTTTTTTGAAACGGCTTCAAGCGGGCTTTAGGAGCCTTCTTGGTGGTGTGTTCAGGGTTTGGTGCTGTCCATGGTTGTTGCGCTTTCGAAAGGGTTCAGGGTTTATGGTAAGGCTCAGTTGGCGGACCGCCGTAACATGCAGACGAGGCCTTTGCGGTATGGCGATGTAAGCTGTTGTCGAACCCCTTCGAGGCGTAGAAACCTGACAAACCCGTGAGCAAAACCTGAATGTAGAAGCAAACAACGATCGTTGCTCGCATCCAGGGTACGCGCTCTTCGAATCCGGCCTTCGTGTTAAATTGGAACCTGGGCAGTGAGCCGGGTTTGGGGGAGTGGAGGGCTTTGAGAAGAGCTAAAAGCCACTGCAGGCCAAAACTCCCCACCGCCCAAAACCCCGAAGCTTAGAAGCCATCAAGACCCCACCATCTGCAGGTTGAGGGCGTGGGTGGGAAGACAGTGTCCATCTGATCGCGCATGAGACGGTAGACAAGCTGGGCTCCAGGTGGTGCCTCCAGGCTGTCCTCGGAGGATGTAGAAATTCGTAGGATAGAGGCTTTGGGGTTTGGGGTTTAGGGTTTTTGGGCCGCTTTGGGCAGAAGATTTCGGGTTTAGGGCCAAAAGTTTTTTTTTTTTTTTAGGGCCAAAAGTTTGGGGCTCAGGGTTTTGCGTTGGAAGCGTCTTACAGAAGATCAGGCTCAGATGAAATCTGCTTCTTGAAACAATCTCATAAAGAAGGTTCGGGGTGACGGATTCACAGTTTGGGTTACGAAATAGTCGGGTAGATAGCTCTGCGCTCCCGTGGCTTTCCCAGGACACCCCAGACTCAGAAACTCTAGGCATCAAGCCCTACATCTCACACGGTGACCCTGAAACCCCTAGCCCTCAAATCCCAAACACCTACAACACACGCCCTGGAAACCCCTGAAGCCCCAACTCGGAGAAGCGACTTCGCCGGTTGGTTTCTGATCCATCCAGCTTCTCAGCACAAACCAGACGCCAAGCAGAGGAACGACCAAGGTTTCCTGAAGGGGCAATCTCGGGCTTCGGGATTGGTCCCTGAGGCTTAAGGATGTAGGGGCGTAGGGATTTGTGCTTCAGGAGACCACAGGGTCTAGTCGTGGGGGTCATTGTCCAAGCACTAGCTCCTACTGAAGTAGCTTAAGGCTTAAGGGTAAACCTTGAACCCCAGTCTTGCCCAAGTCAACAAAAAGGAAGTAACTCTCTCAGCTCAAAGCTTTTCAACGCGAGGCAAATTCAACATGGATTGCAATGCCTTGAACAGGATCGAAACCCTCACGTTACTTCCCAAACTGTCCCAGCGAAAAACCTCAAAACCCCGAAAGCTTCAACCATGCCGACCCTGCTGCCTCAAACCCCAACACGGAATCCCGAGACCCCATCACCATCAAAAGCAACTCTGTCCTTGTCGCAGATATCCTTGCCATGGTGGTTGAGCCTGCAGCAAGTCATCTCACCGTCGAACAGCCGCACGACGTCGCGGACCCACTGCTCCTCAGCTCTGGCTGTACTTTCGTTACGGTTTGCGGCTGGATCTAGGGTGTAGGGTGAAAGGCTTCTCTGCTTAGGGCTTGGAATATAGACTCTTTCGGGTGTTGGGTTCATGTACAGGTTCGCGAGTAGGTCTAGGTCCTGTTGTCAGAGTGACTCACTGTCTTGGGGGCCCACAATGAAACTGCAATCTAGAGACTACATATATGTCTGCAACGAGTCCGACACAGGAAAATCAGAACCGGAAACATCCAACCTGGAAGATCCTAAGCCCCAGACCCTAAGACCCCACGTTTCAGGTGGCCAAGCCAAAAACAACAACTCCCCCACACAGGACGCTGAATTCCCAGTGGACCAAACCTTCAAAGGATCCCGCAAAGGTAAAGGCTGTTAGGGTTTAAGGCTGAGGGTTTGATGGTCTTGGGCTTGTCTGGGACAGCCCGACAGTCTCAGGGTTCACGATTTGGCGCGCGTGTTGCTTCGGCTTTCAAGGGGTTGGGTTTAGGGAGTTGTAGGCAAGATGAAGCACAAGACTTCATTGCCGGCGGCACCTCCTCCGAAAGGAATCTGGTCAAGGTTTCTTCTACGGGCCCCGACATGCCGAAAGCCGAAACTCAAGGGCCCAAGGTTCGGGACTTATGGTTGAGGGTTGGGGAATACAGGGTTTAGGCTTCAGGTTTGGGGCTTAAGGGTTCGGGTTTTGGGTGTCGGATTTCTCTTCAAAATAAACAGTCTCCATCACAACGGAGGCGAAAACCCAGACCCGGAATCCTAAAGCTAAAGCCCCAGGCACGATAAGCCAAGCAGAACCCCGAGAGAGGCGTCACTGTGAATACTGTGTCTGAGTTGAGTCGCTGTGACGGGCTCTAACCCGGTCTCGGAAAATATCAGCCTCGGAGGGCATTCGGGTTCCGGGGAGGGTTTGCCGGTTTCAGGGCTGAGCCGGTATGTGGGGGTTGGCCGCAACTACCAGGCAATGAAACCTGCTGAAACAAGACTTCAACCATGCCTTCCTTCCCCAAATCCTCTCAAAGGCTACATCCCAACTCCTAAACTCCAAACCCTACATTCCGTCCGGCAGAGGTCTTCAGCTTCGGAACTTTAGTGGTTCAGGAAACCTGCACTCCAATGCCAAACTCGCGAAGCATCTCCTTGAACCCTACAGCCTAAACTTAACTTAGGGGAGGCACATGGAACCCAGATCGTGTGCCGTCATGTGCGCAATCTGCTCCATGCGGGTCCTGCTGAATCTTCAGGGTGAACGGTCAATGTCGGGTTTAGTGCTTCAGGTTTGGCCTGGGACTCAGGCTTTGGGGTTTGGGGATGAGGAACTCCTGTGGGTTGAAAATGAACAGCTTCAGAGCTGAGGACCTTCTGAACCCAAGGCTTGGGGGCAGCTGGACTGCCTGACTCCTGGGCCCTAGGTCTTGAGATTTAGGAAGGCTTGAAAAGTGAGAGGGGAGAGGTGGGTGGGTTGAGGCGGACGGGACCATTTTGATTAAATAGCTTCTATCGGAACCCACCAGCTGATCTCTCGTACCTGTGGAATCAAACTTCCTCCATCATCTTGTACAAGGCGGAGGAGACGCAGCAGTGCAGCTGCTCTTGGACGCTAGAGCACATTGGGTTGCATGGAGGGTCCAGAAGCTTCCCAAGCCCTCCCAATCCCACTCGTCAGTCCAGACTCTGCTTTTGTATGTCTGGAGGTTCGCCACCTGCAGAAACCAGCAGGATAAAACTCGAACGGTCAGGCACAGCACTTGGGATGCACGCTTTACGTTAGCCAGAGACGCTCATTTTCGAGGGTATTATGACCCGAGAAGCGGTTGGGCCGTATAGGTACTTTATGACATGCTCAGCTTGACTGTCGAGTCCGCGGCCTCATTATCATCGTCCTCGTCACCATCACCATCACCGTCGTCAATATCGTCATGGTCCCTGTAGCTGCCAGTGTTGTCATCTCTGTCGAAGTATCACCATAAAGGTCTCAGAATACCAACACGGCCAGCAGCCATCAGTACAAAAACACAACTACAAACCAGCATCACCAGCACTACGGCTGCTGCCGCCGCCCATAACGAAAATAAATCAACCCAAAAGAGTTCCCCTACATCTTGTTCATCACCCCCATCCCCATCATGAGTGCGGTCGGTCGTGTTGACATCATCACCCGCTTGAAGGTCCTACTGCTGATGGACAACATCCTTACTTTCAGCGCCCTCAGCCATGGGAATCACGAGATACTCTAGACCCGAAGCCCTGTGCCCTAGTTTCCAAACCCGCAACCCTGCCAGCGCCTGCCCAGTCTCCGCATGCACAGAGTCCGGGGCGACAATGAGCAGCGCATCGGCGGAAGACGCGTACGTGTAGAGGGAGTTCACGGCTAGAAGCCTTGAAAATCTTCGAGCTTGGGTTTTAGATGTTTGGAGTTGTTGGGTTAAGGCCTTGGGCCTTCAGGCATTAGAGGTTTGCCTTTCTGGGTATGGGGTTTATCTAAGAGCCGTACGTAGGGATGGCAAAGGTTCTGAATAAGTGACCAAGTCATGTAGGAGGTTAGAGAAACAGGGGTTGCTCTTCGGGCATACTTGCCAGGTTCGAGGCTTATGCTTTTGGATTTGCTGCGTTCAACGTGCCAGCGTTTAAGGCTCAGTTCCCGGTGGGTTCGAAAGCGACTTGGGTTTAAGGCGAGGGATAAGGTGTTACATAGGGAGCTGGCTGTTGGCTGCACACTAACACACGTAATGTTTAGCCGGGCCTTATAAGCCTTCTCCCGATTATCACCGGGTGCCTGCCAAGCACTCAGAGCAGCGTGTTCGATGCAAACAACCCTGCACGTCCATGACGACTGATTGAAACCTGCAGCTCTGAAATCCTTTGCTCAACCCCACCCTTCAGCAGCCAAGAAGCTGCACACCCTTGTGGTACTGCGGGATGGACAGCACGTCCAACCAAACGTAGACCTCAGGCAGGCGGAGTCTGACTTCCGGCTTAGCCTCCAAAAGTTGGACGCTGCAGGCTGGAACCACAAAGCCAAACCGCGTTTGGGGGACCTGGGACGGCTTAGGCCTTAGATTTCTAACAACCGGGGGCTCCTTCGGCGCACCCGCACCTCGCTTGGCGTCAGCTCCATCGACTCTGCGTATCGTGCGACTGCCTGACGCATGGCCTGCACGATGAAACAATCTGTCTATGAAGTGTGTAAAGACTCTTGCTAACCCAACCACCCACTTGGCCTGGAAAAGTGTTCAGCCCGACTAGACCCTTGCTTGCCTACACCAGAGTCACCGAGCCACACAGCCTGAAATCTCAAACCCTCGACGTTTGGGTTCAACACTTCCACGCTCTCCTTGACCAGGGTCACTTGACCTAACTTTGACCATTGTCGGGTCGGTTAGGGAGGGTGCGTTCACCTGGTGAATCTGCTACATCGCTGCCGTAAGCTTTCGACGTAAAACCAATAATCCCAGGCCCCTGAGGCCAACAGGTCCCCCCAAGTTCGACAGCTTCGGAAGCAAATCGAAAACCGGCCTTACTTGAAGAGACCTCGAATCTAAACCCTACATCGTAAGCTTTGAACCCCTCACCCTGAAACCTGCAACGCAACCCCACACTGCCCCACACCCTGCTGGACATGCTGCTGACCTCGAACTGCGTGGTGTTGGGGCCGTGGCGGTTCCACGAGAGCCACTGGTAACTCAGGAACACAATCCTGGGGCGAAGGACTCTGGGGCTCAGGGTCTACTTTCCGGGCCTTCGTTAGTGATTCGAAGGCAGTTCTCCGGTAGAGTATCGCATATGCTATATGGGGCCGAGAACGGGAAGTTACCGCCAATTCTTCAAGCCTCTACATTGCTTGTAGGATCAAAGGACTTTTCGAGCACGCTCTGCTAGGATAGCCAACGTGGATATCTGTACCCCAACAATAACCTCCTCATTGAGCCCCTTCCCTCTTTTTCTGGATTTTAGGGTTTGGAATTTTGGACCTAGGGTTTTAGGGAAGGGTTTAGGTAAAGCTCACTGAATCACCGAGAGTCCGTGAGTTCGGCTCTTGCTTCCAATGCGCGTGGATGCTGGACTTCGAGTCCATATAGGTGAGGATCCTCGGTTGGCAGTGGAGGCGTCTGGAACCCTTCTAGCTTTGCTGCTTCCATGAAGAAAAGAATAGAGATTGGAACCTAGCAGCCAGAGGGGTTCAAGCATGTTCAAGAGCCTTAAGTGCTGCTTAAGCACTTTGCTGTTTAACCACTGGCTGCCCAGCACACTTCCTACAAAGGAGGAGTAAGAATGTGATGGCATTACATTGCAAGCCGTGGGGCCGTGGGTAGAAGCAGGGATTCAATACCAAACGGCAGGTCAGCTGAAAATAAGCAAACGAGCATCATCATCGCTGCCACGGCTACTGCCACGGCTACTGCCACTGCCACTGCTACTGCTGCTATCACTACCACTGCCACTGCCACTACAACTACCACTAAGACGAAAACGACTACAACGACTTCTGCTACGACTTCGACTACGACTACGAGGACGACGATTGCGACTACAACGGCGACGACCACGACTACGACTCCGACTACGACGACGACCACGACGACGACTACGACGACGACTTGAATGGGGACGACTTCTTCTTCTACTACTACTACTACTACTACTCCTGCTGCTGCTGCTACTACTACTGCTACTACGACGACGACGACGACGACGACGACTACTACTACTACTACTACTACGACTACGAGTAAGACTGCGACCACTACGGCTATCACTGCTACTTCCACTGCTACTACTACTGCTGCTACTGCCTGCTACTGCTGCTGCTGCTGCTACTCCTACTCCTACTTCT